ACTTCAACTCCCAGAATTCCTGAGCCAGCATGGGAGAACTATGGCCCCCTGACTTGTGGACTTCAACTCCCAGAATTCCTGAGCCAGCCTGGCTCAGCTTGGAAACCTCTCTCTTTCACCTCAGCATGGCTGGCTCAGGAATTCTGGGAGTTGAAGTCCACGAGTCATAAAAGAGCCAAGGTTGCCTTCCCCCTGTGTTGGGGGAATCACCACAGTTGTTAAATTAGTATCACAGTTGCTAAGTGGCTCCAGTTTCCCCCATTGGCTTTGCTTGTCAGAAAGTTACAAAAGGGGATCACGGGACACACACACACACACACACACACACACACCCTCAGGGACACTGCAACCGTCATAAACACGAGCCAGCTGCCAAGAGTCTGGATTTTGATCCTGTGACCATGGAGATGCTACAACGGGTCATGTGAAAAAAAGATCACGAGTCATTTTTTTCAGTGCTATTGTAACTTTGAACAGTCACTAAATGAATTGTTTTAAGTCGAGGACTACCTGTAAGCAGAAATCAAAGAGAGAAGCAACCTGGAACTAAGGAGAAACTTCCACAGTGAGGACAATCAACCAGTGGAACAGCTTGCCTCCAGAAATCGTGGGCGCTCCATCACTGAAGGTTTTTAAGAAGAGACTGGACATTCACCTGTCTGAGATGGTATAGGTCCTCCATCTTGAGCAGGGGGCTGGACTAGAAGACCTCCAAGGTCCCTTCCAGCTCTATTCTATTCTTTGACTTCAACTCCCAGAATCCCCCAGCCAGCATGCTTTTCGAAAGGAACTGAGGAATACAAGTCTCAATGTCTCAATCAAGGGTCTAGTCCTCATGATTGGGAAGCTGTATAGGTAGTCCTCGACTTAACGGCCACAATTGGGACAATTGGAGCTGGAATTTCAATTGTCAGTCATTGTGATCGTTAAGTGGAGTCAGACCCCATTTTACAATAATGATTATCGTAGTTATTAAGTAAATCAACATGGTTTGTTAAGCCAACCCAGCTTTCTGAACATTTTCTGCCACAATTTGGAAATCGGCAAATGCAAATTCCAATCAGGTGACTGCAAGTCACTGCAACTGGTCAGAAACGCCTGGCTATTGGCACTTTGGAACCAGGTTGTAAGTACTTGGGGGGGGTATCCTTTGTAATTTATTCCTTTTTCTATTTTTTGGCACATTTTTCTTTCTTTTTCCTACGTTATGTAAGTCTGCGTTAGTTTTCAGTCTTCTCTTTTAATAGTTTCAATAAAAATTCCATAGAGAGAAAAATAGTATTTATTAGGGAAATTTATATGGCTGCCCAACTCACCTCAAGATAAATTTGGAGGGCTTGCAAAGATAAAAGCCCAGCTCGAAATTAATAGACACCCCCCATCCCCTTTGTAAAGGCAGAAAAGGGAGGTTTGGAGGGGGGGCTTCTGATATCTCTAGGGCTTCAGCAGTTTCTTGAAAAGTAGATGCAATCTTCACAACTGGATTAGACCCAGGGCCAGATGTTGCCACGCCTGCCCTACACAATACGTTTTCTAGATTTACTACCTAAATCTTGGTTTCTTTTCAGGAAAGTCAAATGGATTCACCTTTGTTTTTAGCGAGGTCACAGCATAAATACTTTAAAAGCAAGATCGGCTTTATTTATTTAGGACCTTTGTATACCCTCCTGTTTTGTTTTTTTCCCCCAAAGTTCAGGAAAATTTGCATTCTGAAATAAAACCTCAACACAAACCCTCCATAGGCCAAGTCAAGCATCGCCCCCAAAATCAGTGGGAAGGGGTGGTTTTTCACACCCGTGTGAAACTCGTGGGATGCAGGAATCAATTCTACCTGGAATACATAGGGCCGTGGTGGCAAACCTATGGCATGCGTGCCACAGGTGGCACGCAGAGCCCTCTCTGCGGGCACGTGCACCATTGCCGGAGTCCTAGGCATTCAGCTGGGTTTTATAAAACCTTTTCGCTTTAGGCCTCCACCAATGTGTGCAAAAAAAAAAAAAAGGTTCAATCAATCAGTCAATTTCAACTTCTCGCGGGAAAAAAAAGATCTCACAAAGTTGGAATTGATTGGTTGAACTTTTTAGTCCCACCCAGTCTGCCGTGATCACTGTGGCCACGCCCACCCAATGGGCCACACCCACCTAATGGGCCACACCCACCGGGCACCCAACGATACATAAGTGGGTTTTGGGGTTGCAGTTTGGGCACTCGGTCTCTAAAAGGTTCACCCTCACTGGTATAGGGTCTCCTGCTTGAGCTGGGGGTGGACTAGACGACCTCAAAGGTCCCTTCCAACTCTGTTATTGTTACCGCCAAAAAGGCATCTACTACCTTAATCTCAGTCCTGTTGGGGTCGTGGTAGCCGTGGTTCTACTCAAGAGAGACGATCTCCACGTCCACGGAGGAGAAAAATATCCATCCAGTCGTGTCCAACTCTTGGCGATTTTATGGGCCAGGTCTCTCCATCTTCCGACTTTGCACTACAGATAGTCCTTGACGTACAATTCATTTAGTGACCAAAGTGACAACGGCACTAAAAAAAGTGACTTGTGACCGTTCTTCACAGTTATAACCTTTGCAGGATCTCCGTGAGGTCATGTGATCAAAATTCAGGTGTTTGGCCACAGGTTCATATTTATGACGGTTGCAGCATCCTGGGGGTGTCTGTGTCACGTGATCCCTTTTTGCGACCTTCTGACAAACAAAAGTCAATGAGGAAACCGGTTTCACTTAACAATTCTGTTACTAACTTAACAGCGGCAATGATTCGCTTAATAACTAAGGCAAGAAAGGTCGCAAAGTGAGGCAAAACTCACTTAACAACAGATATTTTGGGCTCAATTGTCGTCGGTCAAGGACTACCTGTACTTCTTTTGAGTTGTTTTATGCTCCACCTGGTGTCTCCTTAGTGGTGTCCAGCCGTCGCGTTCTTTGACAACCTGGCTTCCTTTAACCGCTAATTCTTCCCAACATAATTGCTTTCTCCAGTGAATTTCCTCCACACGACCTGGCCAAAATAAATGAGATGCAGTTTTGTGATTTTTGCCTTCCAAAAACCTGTCTAGTGTTTTGCGCTCCAGCACTTGCTTGTCCGTCCCCTTTGCTGTCTTAAGGAAAACACAGGAGCCTTCTCCAGCCAAGAAGCAACCTAGAACTAAGGAGAAACTTCCTGACAGTGAGAATAATTAACCAGTGGAACAACCTGCCTCCAGAAGTGGTGAATGCTCCAACACTGGAGGTTTTTAAGAAGAGACTGGACAGCCATTTGTCCGAAATGGTATAGGGTTTCCTGCCTGAGCAGGGGGGTTGGACTTGATGACCTCCAAGGTCCCTTCCAACTTTATTATTATTATTATTATTATTATTATTATTATTATTATTATTATTATTATTATTGTATCATCACAGCTCAAACGAGTCAATTTTGTTCCCCTCTTGGGTTTTTAAGGTCCTACTTTCACAACCAGAGATAGCTACAGAGAACGCAGTAGAGTGGACTAACTTATATTTGATTGCCAGGCTGATGTCCTTGCGTAATAAAACTATAGAAGGCTTTAGAGCAGGCATGTCAAACTCACAACGTCACATGACGTCGCACAACATTTCGTGACTTTTTCCCCCATTGCTGGCAATGGGGTGGGCACGGTTTTGGCATGACGCATCCAGCCCACGGGCCGGCAGTTATGACATGCCTGCTTTATAGGGAAATATCCCTGCAGTACAGATGTGGTAAGTCCTCAACTTACGAATGCTAACTGGGAGAACTCTCGTTTGCCCAAAGTTGAAGAATACAGAAGCAGCAAAACCATCTTCACAGAGCAGAGGGTTCTGGGAGTTGAAGTCCACCCAACTTCGGGTTGTCAAGCTTTGAGAAACACAAATCAAAAGAGAAAACCTTCAACTGAAGTTGCCGGGACAATGGAGTCTTATTTTTAACAGCTTCACACACCGCAGTTATCGACTTCTTCACACTTTTTACAAAGCGTGGGAGAAGCAAGGTTCTCCTTAGGAAAAACGATCAGGGTGGGGACTTTCCCAGGCCCTGCACGTGGAAAGGGAACTCATCAAGCCTAGCCTGGTGGACTCGGTTTCTACGTGCAGGGCCTGGAAACAAAAAATAACTTTAAACTCGGAAGGACGCAGGTCAGATTTATTTGCGGTCGTCTGCAAGGGGCGCCTGGAAAAATGGGCATTACAAGAAAAATGGCAAAATTCGCACTGGAGTCCCCGGCGTTGGGCCTTCCAACACCCACCCCCCCCAGCGCATTTGGGGTTCCTTCCAACGAGCAGCCCCGCCTTCCGAGCCTTCAGCGCGCTTGGAATCCTGCCTCGCCTCCCCCGTGGTTTGCAGCCTCCGCCCGGCGGCCGCCCCACCACCGACATGGCCGCTGGAGGCAGAGGCGCACAGACCGGGCGGGGAAGGCCGAGGCCAAGCCTTCCTCTCCGCCTTCAGAAGCGGCTTCAGCTGCAAAGCCGGGCCGGAGCGGGACGGCGGCCCGTTTTTAAGCGCGCAGACCGGCAAGGCGAACAGACACATCGCAGCGGCGGCGGCGGCGGCAACTGGAAGAGAACGCGGCGACTCGCCCTCTTCGCCTCCTCTCTTCCCTCGCTTGCAATTGGCAACGTCGCCTGGCCAATGGGCGCGCGAGCCGGCTCCGGGCGACGTTCCATTTTGGAATGTTGACACAGCGCGCTAGCCAATGGCGTGCGGCGAAGGAGGAGCGGGGAGGTTTTTTTTTTTCTCTTCACCCTTCTTTTTTTTTTTTTGGGAGCAACCCGACAGCCGCCGCCGCTCGCTCGCTCGCTCCAGCGCCGAGGGGGCGGGGCAGCCGAGGGGGCGTGGCTCGGCGGGGGTGCGCCGCTCGCTGGAGGGAAACTCGCGGCGGCGGCGGCGGCGGCGTGCGGGGCTTCACCCTGCGAGGATCTGCCCCCCCCCCCTTCTCCGGGCCAGGGGGCTCGGCGCCCCGCCGCTCAGCCAGCCGGCCGGCCGGCCCCGCAGCATGGAGCCCAAGCCGCGGCTTTTCAAACGCGCCGCCTCCCCGGGCGGCCGGATTTGCTCCCCGCCGCCGGGCTTGACGTCAGCGGCCCCCTGCTGCCCTGACAGCAGCCCCCCGACCGCCGCCGCCGCCGCCGGCTTGTGCTGCAAGCCGCTCGCCTCCGCCTCGCCCGCCCCGCCGCCGCCGCCGGCGGCGCCCGGCAACGCCGTTTACACGGTGCTGGTGGAAGATCCGGCGTCGCTCCGGAGGAGAGCCCGCCGCAGGAGCTGCGAGGACGGCGCCGGCCGGAGACCCGCCGCGCTTGGCGGCGGCGGCGGCGGCTGCGCCCGAAGCAAAGTCCAGTTTTTGCAAAAGGTAGAGAGCGCGGCGCGGGGCGCGCAACTCCCGCTCCGTCGGCCCGCCCGCCCGGCCTTGGCTGTCGGGGGGCCGGAGGGAAGCAGCAGCGGGTGGGTGTGTCCCGTCCGGGCCTACGACGCTGACAGGCGGCGGCCTCGCCGAGTTGCGACCTGCCGGCTCCCCGCTTTTTCCCCCCCCCCGAGGGGGCGGGCGAAGGGAGAAGCGGGCACGTGGGAGGGGGCGGAGGGCCGGGGGCGCCGGCGGGGG